CAGGAAAATTACATTTAAATGCACATGTGCACAAATGTACATGTACCTAATCATTTTTCAACAGACTCTAATGACCTTCCATATCCCATATACACAATATACATGTACATGTATACATACCCCAAATGCAGTGTATTACATGTATGTACATGTATGCACTGTACATCCGTTCTCATGAGCAAGCTCTCTCAGATGGGAGGGTTTATTAAACTATATACATTGTACATACTACATGTATATACTATATCTTCTGTATAATATTTAAACTTTTATCTCAGACACACATAAGTACATGTATATTCTGTATTTTATTATATTATGATGCTTTGGAGATATTTTTTTAACATGTACACAATGTACATGTACCTCTAGATAGTTAGTCAGTTCCTGTTTCCTCTGCTCCTTATCCTCTTTCAACAGATCAGAATGAGTGCCAACAATAATGACTGGAGACTCCGGAGCTCTTGCCTATTGAATATAAAAAGAATACACTTCATTAGTCATGATTATAAATTATATTATAGACTACCAGTCAGTCCCAATAATAGTAATCACGAATGTTTGCTTATATACTGTATAGGGACAAACACAACAAGCATAACTTAACTATACGGCTATATTCCATTTGCAATAGCCAATTAGGTCTAATGTTCTGTTTACATGAACTTTACTAATAGCCTAAGACAAACAAGAAAAACAAACCCAAGCCTATTCCTGTATCGCTAATTGCTTACTACACACATTATTATCCTAACCACACCATTAACACTAATAATACATTAACACTAATAATACATTAACACTAATAATACACTCGTACCTGAATATTGTGTAGCCAGAGCTCAAGGCTATCAATCCCGTCCTCTCCATCACATACGTTGAATATAACGAGATACAGCGAACGGTTAGACAGGAAGCACTGATGAGTGGCATAATACTCCTCCTATAATAGTAATATTTATTGCAATCAGTTGTATATTTTTTAGCCAAAACCAAAAATAAGTAATCAATATTGATGGCTTACATATACAATTTTACACAAAATAGAGATGTACATTGTACATGTATATTATTATTAATTACCTGACCACCAAAATCCCAGGTATAAAAAGTGACACTTCTCAATGGTACGGATTTTTTCCCACGGTATGAAGGCTCTAGGTCTTTCCGATACTTCCAAAGTCCCAAATCAACTCCAACAGTAGACAACGGAGCTGAAGGAAAGAGAAAGAAGATGTAAAAAGAACAAGTCAACAAAAAGAAGAATGGGATTTAAGTGAAAATTTAAAAAAGGGACAAATAAAAGGAAAGAGTTCAATTACCATCTCTTGATCCGATTCTTCTAAAGAAGGATGAAGCCCCAGTAATACCGCCTGGTTTCAGTGACACAGCTGCTGATACTGTCTCTCCCTCCTTCCTCTCATTAAAGGTTGATATTGGAGTCCTCACTTCATTGATTTCACGTAGTCTGGTCAGTAATGTCGTCTTTCCTTGTTTCTGTAGACCCACAAGCATTAGCTTCATACTCTCATAGGGTTTAGCACTGTAAAATAAAAAATAGAAATAGGGTCAATATAACTAACATATCATGAGGAAATTTCGGGGGTGTCACTAATGTTCTATTTGTTGCTACTGATATTTGCAAATTTTAAAATAATTTTTAAAATTTGTAAAAAAATTCAATTTTGATCGGAATCAGCTCAAACTTTCTACACAACATAAAAACATGTATATGCATCAGAAAAAATTATAAAAATGGAGAATTCTTTTTCAGTCAATTTTGATGAAATTTGGCCGAAGACCCTGTACTATAGTACAGGGACTTTTGCTCGATTTTGGAGCAACTTTAACAATTCATACAAAATTTAATTTTAATTAGAATCAGCTCAAACTTTCTACACAACATAAAAACATGTATACGCATCAGAAAAAAATTATAGAAATGAAAAATTCTCTCCTACCCATTTTCCATGAAAACCATAGCCCTATGTAGTAATATTTTTGACTTACTCATGCAACAATGATCTCATATAAAGTAGCTTGTCCGAGGCTGATCTAAACTTATCAAGATCACTAGCAGGTGGATTAGTCAACGGTACGCCATCATACTCTAGACTCCAGAGCCCCTCAAGATTACTCAATTCCAAAGGAAGAGTATCAATACTAGCATTATGACTGATAGTTAAAACTGCTAGCGATGAAATGAGATGAATATGCGAGGGAACAGATCGTAACCTAGAGGGAGAGAGGGGGGAAGAGAGGTGGAGAGAGAAGGGGGAGAGAGAGGGAAAGAGAAAGAGGGGGAGAGGGAGAGGGAGAGAGGGAGAGGGAGAGAGAGAGAGAGGGGGGGAAGAGAGAGGGGGAGAAAGAGGGGAGGGAGAGAGAGAGGGAAAGAGAGAGAGGGGAGGGGGAGAGGGAGAGAGAGGGGGGAGAAATTGTTAAGTGACAGGTGGTATGATTGATAATACAAAGTATCATACAATCAACAACAATAGACTGTTCAATGCTTGTCAGACTACACGATACACTGTGTACGACCACAATAACAATACATACGACACGTAATGTTAAGGAATATGTAACAGTAAATGCAATAGGTGTTTAATGAGTTTACTTGTTGTGTCCCAGATCTAGTGTTGAGAGTTGAGGATAGAGACAATAAAGGACTTCAACTGAGCTGGAGTCGGGTTTCTTATCATCACTGGATGGTCCATCATCAGTGGAACTCACTGAAGATCCTTTTATTCTGTTATTTAGTGGCGTACCAAAAGAACTCTTGGTGAAATCCTTATGCATGATGGACATCTCCATGCCTCCAGTTTTACAGCGTCTACTGAAGCGACCCTCATCAATAGATGAGGTAAGGTCAGTCCCGTGGTCTCTCTCCGTCGTACGAAAGAGCTGGACATCAACTAGCTTATTGTGTGCTAATTTAAGGTACCCGAGCTTTCGGAGAACTCTGTGGTTACGGTGAGAGCATCGAGTGGGAGTCATGGTCTCCTGAGCAAACTGAAGGAGCTTCTGAGCACAAGTGAGGTTCCTAAGACTCTCTCTAGGCCTGGCAGGAGCAACAGCAGACGTGAGTTGATTATGACACCCGTCAATCAACTCAATCTCCGATGGATAGTCGGTGATGGTCCCGAGAGATGAGAGGTTATTGTGATGAAGGTGGAGCTTTAGTAGTTTAGGTGCGAGACAGCAGAGCCCTTGAGGTATAAGGGTCAATTCATTATACGATAAATCGAGAGTTTCCAACTGAAAGAGAACCTTACCCTCTTTGTTGCCACTGGTAGTGCTATCAACAATACCGGCAATCTCGTAATCATCAAAAGGGTCTTCATCAGTGTCCGTGGCATCAAATAGCTCTCTTAGTCTGCTCCTACGAATATTATGAGGAGGAGGGAGAGAGACCCGACGATCAGTTATCCCACTCTGTGACATCACTGGGCTAGATTGCACGTGTGGTATATAGGACTGCTGGAGGAAATGAATAGAGTCCTTCCTGCCAGAATAAGGAGTGTGGGCCTCAAAGGGAGGAGAGACAGGAGTGTGGGGATAGAGTGACGAGTCAGGAACACTGAATGAGCTGTGAAGGACCTGACCATCAGATGACATACCCTCTAGCGTACCAAAACCAGAGTCGGGCGAGAGGAACGGGGATGGGAAGGACTCGAGTCGATTCTTTTGCAGGAGCAGTTTTTGTAGTTTAGGAGCCTTCCATACTTCAATGGGGACGTCCCGTATAGCATTGTTATTAGCACAAAGCTCCTTTAGCTCGGGTAGTGTGAATAGTAAAGGAGGGAGGGACGTCAACTGATTGTGTGACATGTCAATATGCTCCAGGCTATCACACTCCCAGTCATCAGAGACAGGGAGCGATGATATATTGTTACGATTCAATTCAAGACGGAGGAGGTTCTTCAATTGGAAAATGGCTACCGGTAGCTCATTGAGTTTATTATCAGAGATGTTAAGCTGAGAGAGTGCGTAGGACTCTGCCTTTGGTTTGTTTAGATAGGACGGTGCTTCAATCAGTACCATATCGATCCACAGCGGAGTGATGTAGGGCAACTTCTTACTAGCCCAGTTAACAGCAAGGAGCAATGGTGAGGATGGGCTTGCCTTACCTAATCTCTTCCTTAACTCCATGTTACTGGAATCAATGGTCACACTTCCATTGTAACACAATAGCAGACCAACGACGTCGTGATAAGGCATTCGCATTGCACGAGTCAGTGCTTTTAATCTTGCATCAGTCGCACCATGTTGAAGGAGGAACCGAACCATTTTAACGTCGTTAGTCATTGCAGCCTGTACCAGCGCAGTCAGATCAGCATTGGCACTTCGATCAAGTGACGGCCTCATTATGGCATTGACATCAGCTCCGCCTTCTTGAAGGATCTCTATCATTTCAGTAAAACCTAGTCTCGAGGCCTCGTGCAACGGAGTACGGCCCATTTCTGTCATTATATCCAATGGATTTGATGATGAACCTGACGAGGCACGTGCATGTAGTCCTAGTCCATGAGACGAGGGAGTGGTTGGTGTTCTTGGAGAGACTGGAACTTGCGAATTAGAGAGAGCAGAAGAGGGAGAGAGGCCGAGGGCCACTGGCTTCTTGAGCTGGTTCTCTCTAATCCACTTAACAAACATACTAACAATGTCAGTATGACCTCCAATGACTGCCTCATGTAAAGGAGTCCGTCCTTCGGCTTGACTGTGAGAGAATACATTGACACTAGCATCAGGTGGGAGTACTGGCTCATCTAACGAGGAGGAGTCCTTTCTCTCGGGAGTAGGAGGGAACAAGCCGGAAGCAACGTCAAGTAGGACCTTGACAGTATCGGCGTGACCGTTACGAGCTGCTAAGTGAAGCGAACTGCCTTTTGGTGATTCTTCATAAAGTAGTATCCTTGGGAGTCTCTTTATTAGCGTCTTGATGACATCAGCGTGACCGTTCTCCGCTGCATAATGAAGAGCTGTCTTTGCAGTTGAGCCAAGAGTGTGTGTGACTTTAGCTCCAATATCAATGAGATAGTCTACTATAGCTGAGTGACCTTCACGACTAGCACTAAGAGAAAGATAGAGAGGGAGAGAAAGTGAGAGAGAGAGGGGGAGAAAAAGGGGAGAGAGGGAAAGAGAGAGATAAGAGAATAGTAGACTAAGTTGACAAACTAAATAAACATGATAGTACAATGTATAGAATGTTGTTTTTAAACTTTATCATTAAAATAATACGGTAGTATATAGCAAACACAACATGATGATTCACGGTACATATACACACTGTAGCTAATGGTAGGGTGAGGAGGGTGATACCCTTGTTAGCTTTTAATTAATTAGCAGGCTGCAATGTGATGATGGAGCAGATTACACTGTACAATGTATAGTAGGTGTATATGTAGTTTTCTTAAAGTGTCAAGTAATACCAGTTTGGCCTGGATAGCAGTATTGATAGGTGCAACCACAAACTGAAAGTACTCTTTAATATCAGTCCACCCTCTGAATTCCAAACTAACATTCATGATTACAATACCCAATACACAAGTTATTACACTAAGTATACATTTGCTTAATCTCTTAGTCAACAGTGCACGCATACACACAACCAAAATAAGTAAATGCAGTTATACTTTTAAAGAAATGAATAAACTTCTTAACAGTCAATTATAAAAAAAATATAGTTTTCACATCAAGGAATTACAATAATACATGTACATGTACATAATAATACATGTACATGGAATCAAAAGAGCAATGTGTGGATATATATATAATATACAAAATGACCAAGTTTATGTGTCATTGAAAATATATGCAGTATCAATATTCAAGCTCAAGCATTAATTTTACTTAAAGAATAAACTCAATGCTCAATGCAGTGCAGACTATATTGACAATAAAACATTACAAATGGATCCAAGTGGATGAGATACACCTGTGCATGTGTCTAGACAACACTTACATCATGAGTAGTGTCATGTATTCTTTCTTGCATTCATTTATCATTACTACTATACCGGGCATCAGCTCCTTCACTTTAGTTAAATCGCCAACTTTACATGCGTCGTATGCATCTACAAAAATTAACAGTGAAATCATAACGATAATTATTATTATTAATAAATAATAATAATAATAATAAGCATAAGCAAAAGTACATGTATATGACATAGATAATATAAACAGAAAAAATCATAAATCACCGTCTATATTTTTGAAGAACTGGTGCCTCTTTTCTTCTTGCTCTTCTGCTTCTGCAATAAAAAATTAAAAGCGAAATATAAAGATGATTATACTATAAGCTAGTGCAGCCTATCAAATGCATGAGAAATTGGACTTTTTGATGCATACAAAACACTGAAATAAAACCAAATTCTATTCCAATGTCATGGTAATAATGATAGTACAATGAAGCACATTGTATGAAAGTATGCAACACCATAAAAAGATACATATCACATAATGGTACATGTACATTGTACATGCAGCATGTACTGTGAGATGTACTTGCTAGATCTGAAAGGAGTTCAGCACATTCATAAAAGTCGCACTGCAAGGCTGCATCATAAGGAGTGTCACCATAGCCATCGTGGAATGTTACTTTGGAGCCGTTACCGACCAAAAGTTTCACCAGATCAATCTGATTCTCGCTGATCTGCTCACGGCTCTGATACTTTGGGCCGGGCTCCTGAAATAAATAATAAATAAGCTCAGAGTAAGGGAGAGGGAAACAACAGAGAAACTTGAAGAAGAGAAAGGAAGCTGTACTTACCAATACACACACGCCCAGCACTGCCCTGTGAAGTGGTATCTATTAAGATAAGAGAGAGGGAGAATGAGAGGAACAGTGTATGGGAAAAAGAGCAAGTGTGAGCAAGTGTATGTGTATGTGTGTGTGTATATGACAGTTGCTTATATGTACTTATGTATAATAAGTATATACCTTTCCTTCTGCTCCTTTGGCATTAACTTCAGCTACAAAAGAAAAAAGAATAACAACGCTTCATTCAAACTACATGTAAATAACATACTCCTTCTTTCTCACTGTATATAATGATCTCCCTCCCTCCCTCCCTCCTCTCTCTCCCTCCCTCCTCTCTCTTTCCTTTTTTCTCATAAACAAACAAGTGGTCATCTACTAATAGGTGACAATCACGCATTACTACACTAATATGTACACCTTCCTAAAATTGTTTTTAACATAATGCCCATTGAATTTATAAACGGTCTTTTAACAAAACAACGATAATCACTTTACATAATAGACTTGTAGCATACATACATGTATATCCGTACATGTAAATTAAAAAATTGCTGAATTTAATTTTAAATTTGCACCAGCGTAGATCGTAAATTTCCCGGCTCAAGAAAATCTACTGGCTCAAAGCAAAAATGAATTAAACCACACCCAGACAGACACAGCCAGCCATTATGTTGAACCCCTTCCCTGGCCCCTCTATCTCTCCCATCAGTGCATACCTTTATAGTGGAGCAAAATACTAGCACATTCTCTTTCCCCGTAATAGCAAGCGACGTGTAGTGCTGTGTTTCCCTGGGAGTTGGGAAGGTTCGGATCTGCTCCGTTTGAGAGAAGGCTCTCTAGCAATGCGACGTCGCCCCACATCGCAGCAGCCGTGAGGTCCTCCGTGACGTCGCTAGGCGCGTACACATTCTCTTTTCCAGACATTCCCGCGATAGGAAAGGACAATAGAGCTCAAAGAGAGGTAGAGAATTAGAGTAGGAGAGGAAGGTTTACAAACTCTAGTCCGCAGCCATTTCCAGTAGAAAACCACTCCTATGGCTCCTCCTATCATCATTAAATTAAAAAATTAATTGGAACTTTTATTAATTAACAACAATTATAATTAAAATTATTATTATTAATGAACGAACAAGGACGGTATTATTAGTATTATATGGCTGTTCCTCTTTCAAGGTTGTTTTTGATTTCTGCTGTGTATTTGTCATAATATCGAGCGGCTTTCCTATTAAAGCCCCTATTCCTCTCGTTGATATAGTCCACATCAGCATCATGCATGAACTCTCTCCGACGACTAAACTTGGACCTCTTTTCGATTCTAAAAATACAAAGATGATAATAATTAGAGCCAACATACACACAGCAATCATTATTATTACTGTTTGTCGAGGTCTTTAAGCATTCTGTCCATTCCTTCCTTAGATACTTCACCCAGTCCACCATAGCCTAAGCTATTGGCAGTGGGGTACATCTCCTCTCCTCTAAAAAGAACATGTACACTTTATTCTAAACACTTGCAAAGTGATTGTACAACTCACAGTTCTAGTTTCTTCTTTTCGTACGATTCAAGATCAGGATTAACCTGTTTGATGAGCCTCTCGTACTGTCTGTATTGAGCATCTTTGTAATCTACACAATGTCAAGCATGTTCACACTTCACACATGTACATGTACACACATGTACATCACTACATCTACATTTAGGTGATAATGTGTACATGTACCGTATTTCCTCGTGGAAACGCCAACTCCCTATAAACGCCCATGCCTGTATAAACGCCTAGAGACAGCACATAACTTTGACAATAAACGCCCATGCTTGTTTAGACGCCCATTCTTGATTAAAAGCCTATACCACACCCACCTACCCCATTCACGTGGTACATGTACCTTACGTAGTTTAGTAGTTTACATTCTACAATGGCAGCTGCAGCTGAGAGGGCTAAAGAAACTCAGAAGTTTTGATGTCAGTTTTAAACTACGCGTTGTGTCTATTGAAACATGGTGGTAAGGATTATTTTTGGGTTATAAACGCCCACCTCGTATAAACGCCTACTTCATTTAAACGCCTAGCAAACAGGTCTCTATAAGAAATAAACGCCTAGGCGTTTCCACGAGGAAATACGGTACATGTAAATCTACATTTAGGTATAAAGCTACATTTCTATTCATGCACAAATTCAATAATAATAATATTTTAATAATATTTCTAGACCCTAACCATTACAAAAAAATGTTTCCCTATCATACTTTACTAGTAAAAAATGTCTACTAGTTATATTTACCTGAGAAGCCAGGGTCAGGGTTCTTCTTCTTACGCTTTCGTTGGAGTCGGTCCAGTTCATCAGCACTGGCATCAAGTAACTTGAGTTGTTTGTAGTCTTCACCAGCTTCTTCAGCTTTCTAGGGGAAAGAAAGGAAATAAACTAAAAGAAGACTTAGCAAGGAGTATGACTTCACATAGTGTGAATAATAATTATGGCTACTGGTAGTTTAGGTATACTTGTAGTTTGGCCAAATTTTTGCTAAAAAATGACCATTTTGCATTTTTATATTTTTTTCTGATACATATACATGTACTTATGTAGCGTAGAAAATTTGAGCTAATTCTGATCAAAATTGGATTTTTTACAAATTTTTAAAGTTGCTCCAAAATCAGGCCAAAGTCCCTGTACAGGGTCTCAGGCCAATTTCGCCAAAAATGGCTAGGAGAGAATTTTGCATTTTTATATTTTTTCCTGATACATATACATGTACTTATGTTGTGCAGAAAGTTTGAGCTGATTTCAATTAAAATTGGTTTTTTTACAAATTTTTAAAGTTGCTCCAAAATCGGGTCAAAGTCCCTGTACTATAGTACACGGTCTCAGGCCAAACTTCGCCAAAAATGGCTAGGAGAGAATTCTCCATTTTTATATTTTTTCCTAATACATATACATTTTCTTATGTTGTGTAGAAAGTTTGAGCTGATTCCGATCAAAATTAGATTTTTTATGAATTTTTAAAGTTGCTCCAAAATCAGGCCAAAGTCCCTGTAGGGTCTCAGGCCAATTTCACCAAAAATGGCTGGGGGACAGAATTTTGCATATTTATATTTTTTTTCTGATACATATACATGTACTTATGTTGTGCAGAAAGTTTGAGCTGATTTCAATTAAAATTGGTTTTTTTAATGAATTTTTAAAGTTGTTTAAAATCAAGCCAAAGTCCCTGTACTATAGTACAGGGTCAATGGATAAATTTTACCAAAAATGACTAGGAAAGAATTCTCCATTTTTATAATTTTTTCTGATACATATACTGTATTTCCTTAAACAAAAGCCCAGGTGTCTGTCTACCGTATAGCGGAAAATTTTGGAGGGACTAAAATTTGGCGAATTGCTAAATTTTGGTGATTGGCGGATTTTAATTTGGCGAATTGGTGGCCATGTGCCATTGAGCATGCGTATAATGGCTCAAAATGGCGGATTTAATTTTGGCGAATGGCTATCATAACGCCAAATTCGCCAAATTTAATTCCCTCCAAAATTTCCCACTATACGGTATTTCTTAAAATGGCATTTGAACCTCAAAAAAATTTTTTTTTATAAAAAAACTTGGGCCCAGAGCGGGATTTGAACTGGGGACCCCATACACTTGACTTCAGGAACTTAAGGAAGTATCTACCAAGTATCTCAGTTACTTCAAGGCTAGATTTGCGTATTTATACTTCCATTCTATTGCTACCCCGGCGTTTATTCACATCTGGCTTTTATTTAAGGATATACGGTACATGTACTTATGTTGTGTAGCAAATTTGAGCTGATTTTGATCAAAATGGATTTTAATTTTTAAAGTTTCCAAAGGCCATACATGTACATGCACTATTGTAGAGCTTTCCAGCTCATGGAGCACTCACTTAGCATGCTTTGTGGGACCCTGTACACATGAAATGTAATAGTACAATACATAAAAACAACAACAACAACAACAATAATAATGCACGTACTTTCTTAAATTCCTCTTCCTGTTCCTCCCATTCTGCTTTACGGCGACGTATTTCAAAGTTGGCTGGTAACTTATTCCGTCTGTCTTCCTCAACGACTTCTTTGCGATTCAATTTCTTTGCTTCATTCTACATAAAGGTATACATTATATACACAGTTATTTGTACACACTAATAGTCATTACTCTTCTTAAACGTAGTTCCCTGAACCTTTTTAACCTCTCTTCACTCTTTCCAGATGAAACAGTCTCGGAATTATCTTGAACTTCTCTTGATTGTTCTTCCTCTTCTACTTCTTCTTCTTGTTCCTCTATTCCCTCGCTTTCTTGTTCAATTTCTCTACCATCTAGAACTAATGAACAAGACGCCATTTTTATAGAATTGCCACGCCTAAAGGGCCTAAGGCTCCTCCTACCTTCAGCCCCACCCTATAGAAAGAAAGGCGAGCTCACCATGGAGGAAGGAACTGCTTTTGTACGTGAAGGAGACACTATACTCCTTTCTTATGAAGTGAAGGGTCAAAAGTTATTTCTTTACTCAATGCAGCCAATCAGGAGGTATGCTAGCACAAGACCTAAGCTTAAGAATTCAGCCTCAGTCTGAGTCTGCACAATCTAGATCTATATATGCATCCGCATGAGATATGTATATATATGTTTGTTTATTCTTCAACTTTTGTAGTAAAGATAAAAATGACAGAGCTTATGAAGCATGGGACAAGTATGCATTCAATCAACCCTCACTTCATCCTTTAGCGTATGATGAGATTAAGGAAAGGGCCATTCCACCAAATGTCCATTGTAAGTTGTACTTTGTGTCTACTTGTAGTGTAAAGTAAAATGATATTCATTACAGCAGAAAATAATTATGTTTAATTAGCGCTTAAGTTATTATTATTATTATATAGATCTATCATTCAAAGTTATACCAGAATTATTAAGGTATATATTTCAAAACAGTCTTAATTAGCCTTTCCTCATTCTTGTGGTTTATAATTAATTTTACCTTTTAGTGAAGAGTCTTTTCAGGATGATACACATGTTAGAAAAGACACTAGTTATTGCATGAAGCTTGTGTATGGAAGAAAAATCAAGGTTTGGGGCGAATATTAACATGCATTGCTTTATTGTGACTGCATATACCTATAGCTGTTGCATATGGGCTCTAAGATGTATTTATCTTTGTCTTGTTCCAGTGAAGGAGATAAATATGTTAGTTTTTATTTTATTCTCAGTTAATTTATGCCCCATGCGTGCAATAGATCACTTTTAGACCTGAATATGATGAAAGAACGTGCCTCTTTATTGTTCATCTGCCAAATGAAGAGAAACAATTTGGAGATGCAGTTAGTGGCTGTACTTAAAGTCTCCTTTATCATTAAATGTATTTAAAGGTTTGTTCTGGTGATACCATATTTCTCAAGTCATCCTTTGAGCCTTCTTATATAGTCAGTAATGAGGATGACAATAAGCTATCTGTGAGGTTAGATGATAATATTAAGGAATGAATAATGATTTATATCTTTACCTTCAAGTGATTCAATTTGTGACAGCATTGGATTTACTGTGTCCTTACATAGAAGTGTTAAAGCGAATTCTGGTTCCATTAGAGTAAGTAATTCCATCCACCTGTGACGTCGCTAATTAAATTTATAACAATTTTGATTTTAGGGAGGAAGTGTTGTGAGACTCTCCTGTCTGGAGACAGATGCTTTTCTTCATGGGGAAGGCTCAACATTAGACCCTAGTATATGGACAAGAGGACTTGAACATTTTAGACAAGAGGGACTGTTCAAGGGTCAGTGTACTTGCAATGCAATTGTTTTCATAATGTTTCTCACTAGTTGGCTTTACCCAAAAAAGGAAACTACCTAATGGAGTTCACAAGCCATTACCTGTTTCTGGGGATTGTTATTGGCTACTAGAGAAATGGGATAAACCACTGGATGGTAATGATATACTGTATCTTGGTATTGATATACACGTATAGGTACACCCTTTAAATTTGATGATAAATGTTCTTTGAGACACTTACAAACACAGAGATATCTTGCACTGAATAATAAAAGTGGAGAATTCGAAGTATAACAGCACCATTGATTATAATAACATTTATGCATAAATGTTTTTGTAGCTGGTAGCAGTCAACGGAATTGGAAGTCGAGGCTATCAATACAAATTCATAATTGAACCTGCAACTCCTAATACTGATTCAGTAATAATTATGTTGAATGATAGCAGTTTGCATGACTCACATTTTAATTTATAGTCAATTGAAGAAGTACAGCAAGATTCTGAGATAATGCTAAAGGTGGCTGACAGTAAAAGCAATGCATACTTATCACTGGACACAAAGAAAAAGCCATTTAGAGACTCAAAGAAGAGACAAATTAGTACTCAGTGGCTAAGAATAGTAAGAATACATGTAATGGTATGTTATGTATACTGCATCAGGTAAAGTGCAGTGATCTTAGTGATGACTGTGTAACAAGAAAAAAGTGTATCATCAAAGTTGGAGAAGTAACAACCAAATCATTTTTCCCTTAATTATTCATTTATTGCATAAAGGTTGAAAAGAAGTCATTATTTAAATTATATTTTGCCAAAAGTGTTAAGAGTATATTGGTAAGTACATTATATGGATCTAATATTAAATTATTGATTATTAGCAAGAGATTTTAGTACGAAATCCTGTTCCACTAGAAGAATATGCTTTAACTTTGAATCCTAATGATGAAGAGACATGCTTGGATGTGTTGCAATGTGTAAGTAAATGGCTCAAAAAAGGATTATCCACTACAAGAAAGACTCGTGGCAAAATATCACGTAGCAGTGAAGTCATAGCTTTGTTGGTTAATTTTCTTTGCGTTAAATTGTCAGAGTAAATAAAAACGCTGAACAAAAATAGATATTTTAATGTGTAATTATTTTTAGTCGAATCTGTACTGAAATTGCAAGTATATTAACAGATTTCATAAAAATACACAGCCACAGATCACACCTATATTTCATACATAGACCTCAGCCCTGTGACATGTCACTAGCAGATGTGGTTGCATCACAGGTTAGACATTGTAAGATTTACCGGCATTTTATAAATTATTATAGCTTACAAAAAATTCAAAAATTCAAATGATTTTATATCACCTCCTTGAAAGGCAAAGGTAGCTTTATAGTCATAAATCAGAATTCTGATGTATTAATTATTTGTTGTCTTCCTTGTAGTGGAGTTGCTGATACTGTTGCTCTATCACTCCTTAATTCAAAGTTTTTAGATAGAATTACATGGCCATTGGTAAGAGATGGTGCATCATAAAGCTGCAATAGCACTATGATTATTCTATAGACTATTAATGACAAGACTATTATTGAAATTTTTGCAATGCTGTGTACACCTAATGGTATTCCTTTTGAAGAAATGCAAAGTATCATTATCATAACAAATTATTAATTTTATTAAATGCATAGAATATATTTGTACTGAGTTAGAAAATGGAAGGAAGGAGGTCAGCCATATATTATGCACACTTTCTTGCTGATACTTCTAATGTAAATTTTTAAAGATTCCCATATTTAAAATTGTTGAAGATGGAGTACTGTACCATGTAAACGGTGGAAGTTTTGTTCTAGAAAATTTTTCTGAAAATGCAAAGGTCAAGGTACAGTTACTTTTAGCATAATTTAATTTTATTCTTGGTTTTTAGATCAATTATTTTATATCTTTACTGGATTTTTTTGCAGCTCTTTGCAAGGTTATTATTATATCATTTTATTTAAATTTTATTATTTTTAAGGGAGGTGAAAGAGTATCAAGTGATTTCGTCAAGAAGCATTGCCCATTTGACACTAGCTGTTTATACCCAGGTGGTTTAATAGACAGTGTTGTGAATGATAGTGTCCTATGCAACAAGTTGAAATCAGCTTACTTAAAGTGCATTATATCTGCATATATTGAACCAAAAATTGAAAATTCTGGTATTGACATTGACAACATATGGCACTGCTATGTAAGCCCTTTCATTTTTAGTTTAAACTTTAAAGTGCTCATTTATTTGTAGTTTTGGAGTAAAGTTAAAAAAACAAACAAGACCAGCAGGCCCTTATATGCCTCAAATGTGGCAGAAAGTAGTCTTATGAAACATGAACATATTAGGGATATTGTAGAGCTACTTAAACAATGCATTACCATTGCAGATTGCAAAGTCAGTTGTTTTGATTATGTTTGTATCTATTTATTATGATATGTAGCTAACTACAAAGAGCTTCTTTCTCTCTGATTTAATGGAATTGTTTAATACTTTGATTGCATATGGACTCTGCTGGAATTGTAAAACTGAAGTCCCGGACAACTTCTTTACTGATGACAAAACTGAACTTAAATATTTAATAAATGATGAAGGAGATGAAGTCTTTATTAATTTACCTTTACTTGTCCAAATGCTTGATGGAAGAGATGACACCATCATGATTGCAGAGAGAGGAGTTGGTATGTACAATTGTCACCTAATGCTATGATACATCATTTTGCTTTACATTAGATGTAGGTTATAGCTACAGACAAGAGAATCTGTCCCTTTTCAGGCTAAAAGTAAAGTATGTATTTTAATTTGTACTTGCAAAATTTACTTTTATTACCTCAGCATCATCAAGGTGTTGCACTCTTTTCTAAAGCAATTGATTTATTTAGGGCTTGAGGTATATAGTTTGATTATATAAAATAATTAATTTATAGCTTATTCTATAGAAATTTCTCCTTATATTTGCAACTGAAGAAGGGTATTTTATCTAAAATAATTTTACAAATTGTTACCAGTTTATTACAGAATTAATCCTGGTGGAGTGAAAAGTCTTTTTTCTGATTTAAAGCTGTATGAATGCTTTGATATAGCAGATCCAAAGGGCCCTAGTGCAGAGGAACCAAAGGGCCCTAATCTAAAGAAAGTGTTAGAATGTTTAATGCATTATCCTAATGATGAATTGAGACAGGCTAGTGTCGCATTACTTATTGACATACATGACGTGAGTATAAACAAAATGTTATTAGGCAGCAATATGTAATAGTAACAGAAAGGCAAACCAATATCGTATAATTTTAAAGGGCTAAATTTTTACTAATCAAAGGGGCAGTTGCCACCATTGATTTTTTAAAATTGCTTAGAGAGTATTTTTCATTTTCCTCATTTTGCAAAATTCAGAGCCAATCAATTTTTGTGCAAAACTAAGTATTTCCAGTCAAAATCAGATTTTTTTACAAATTAAAAAGGATTCCCTTAAAAAATTTTCAATTAATAGTATTTATTCCAGCTGATTAATGTAATAGTACTATGTTTGCATAGTAGCATTGTAGTTATGCATAATTGTATAATTATCCATCTCATATTATGTAGATGGAGCACAAAATGATTGAAGATGCAAAAAATTCTTATCTTATTTTTAAAGAGGATAGTACAGTCACAGATTTTACTAAAAGGGGAAGTTTTACGGACGCTAATAAGTCATTATTGGTATTAATACAAGGATTGGGAAATATTCGTAAGATTACTTGTGATCTATTACTTTTATTGTTTACATGCTTATGTAGGTACATCAGAGGACTTAAAATGGTATGGTTGTGCTATGGTTAAAAAAGATAACAAGAATAATATAGTACCACGAAGGCGCATTCAAATGCTAGCATATACATCTGGTAATGATTTGTTAACTTTGTATTTTATTACACTTTATTGTATTTATCAATAGGTATTTTTTCAGCACTCATGGTATATGTGTTGAAATTCTCACAAAGAGTCTGTCATGCAAATACAAATCAGCTCCAACTTCTTAATCGGGCATTTAAGTTTCTGCAATTAATGTGCCAAGGGAATAAAATGGTTATGAAATATTTTTGTATTGTAATATTCATGTATGTACATGTATGATTAGGTGAAAGCAAAGATATTTGTCAGTATCCCTCAGTTATTAAAAGTCAGGACAGGAGTTGCTGCAGTTGCTCATTTGCTGGCTGAAGTAATTGTATTTCATCATCCACTTTTCATTAAACTTTTTGCAGGTATTTGAGAAAAACAGAGAGCTTTGTCTAAGAATGAGCAACAATGATATTGAGTGTATGTACACTCTGGCCAGCACTTATCACAGTGACAGTAGTGAATATTTGAAATTTTTTAAAACTCTTGGTATTCTCATGAAAGTAATAAGTATAATAGCATATGCTTTGCTATTATGTTTTCAATCATTTTACAGCCGGACACAGAGGGTTCCATTCTTATTCATCAGCAATTTCTTTTTCGACTTTTTTTGGATTCTTATCATGATTGCTTCAGTGATGTTCTGAGCTCTGAGGGTATTAGTAATGCAGTAAATCTTTTAAAGGAATCCAGCCAGAAAGATGAAGAAGTATAAAACAGCACTCAGTTATATATATATATATATATTAACCATACACTGTTAGGTGATATATGCACAAAATAAACTGCTCTGTTTGACTGAATTTTTAGCAGCTTGTAGTGAAAGGTATCAATTTGCTAAAGACAAATGTTGTGAATTTTTCTCATTACATCACCTAATCAAGTTAGCAGCATTTTGATTACATGAATTTTATATAGATTTATTTAAATATAGTATAATAATAAACAATGGAATAGATAAGAATTTCCAAAAACCTTTTGTCCATTTCCTTGAACAAGTATATTTATGCAACAAAAGACAATTAAAACACTCATTGCTAATAATGTCATTAAAGTATGTAACACGAAATTATGCCATTATCTATAATGACATTGTCAGACAAGTTGTGTCTCAATTACAAGATAATGAGACTTCTGAAAGTAGACCGCTATACCTACTATGCCTAGATGGTAAACAACTGGAAGAAGTAAGTCGTAGTCAACAAAGACTTGTTTTTTATGAGTTTGTTACTAAAAAAGAAGAGTTGTAGTAAATAATACTTTCTTATACATATACTTTCTTATACAATTTTGTTTGAAACTTTGCTGTTGTAAGGTTAAAGAATTACCTGAGGATGATGAAGAAATTCAAGAAATGAAAATAAATGAAGACTGGCAAAATTTTGTTGCTAATATTGCTGTGAACACAAGTCATATAGCTGGGACTAGTGGCTCAAATGCTAATCAGTTACTCCAACTCTACGAAAAGAGGTTCCGCTATCTCCATCCTAAAAGATCTGGGCAAGAAAAGCTGGTTGAAATCTTTGAAGAATGTATGACTGAAATCAAAGAGCTCATGTATGAGTATTGAACAATAATTAATTTAAATTAGATCTATATTTGTACAGATTTATTATTGAAGAACAATTACAAGGGTCCAGTGAAGAGAATAATGTAATTTTGGTAAGAGCCACACATAATATGTTTCAAATCTTTGGAGTTTTTCATCAATGTATTATCAAAATGAATGAGTAAGTGTGAATTATTAATACTTAACATAATTACCTTTATTCTGTAGTTATCATTTTAATAAACTAAAGTCAAACCTTCAATTTTTATTTTTATTTTCTCCTCATGATGTAAGCCACATCCTTACAAATTTCTAAATGACAATTTATAGGTTGAAAGATTTCTTTTACTATCAAAGAAGGAAGATGTGAGCTTGTATATTTTGGCATTCTTTGCAGTCTTTTTCCTTTACAATGGGGAAAATGACTCTGAAAAGGAAAGGCTTTTGGAGATACGTAGTGTTGCTATAGGAAACAGAAACCTCTTCAATATAATTGGCAGGCAGATACAGAGAGCCACAGCTGAATTAAATAAGCCTGGACCCATTACACAAAAGTCAGTATAATAAAATGTATAATTTAACAAAATATATTTAGTAGTTCAAGACTTTCATTACCAGATTCAGTAAGTTGTATTTCTATTCAAACATTTAATATTCAGCATCACATTAATTCTTGATTAGCACTTTGGATCAATCAATGAAGACAGTCAAAGCAATAATGATCTATCAATCAATGAAGACAGCCAAAGCAATAATGATCTAACAGGTGTACATGTAGACCAAGTACCTAAAGTGGAATTGGTAAATTGACATACAAAATTATGAATCAAGCATGTACATGTATATTTGTGCTACAGAAAGTTGAAACAGGGACAGATTTAATTTGGCAAGCTGGGTTATCACTAGATGTGATTAGTGCTATGTGCTCTGGACAGAAGGATGAAATGCAGGATAAAATGAGACTGGATCCTTCTACTGTGAGTGATTCTGAACCAGTTAGTTGTTTGAACTATCATTTTAAAGGGAATACACTTTGTCAGAGATACAGCAATTCTCCTCAGCAAGTTAGCTAATTTAGAAATTCATTCAAGTTTAATTGAATGCAAGACCAAAGCAATACAAGTCAGTTTGGAACCCTGCTTATAATAATTAGACTTATTTGTATAGGCACTGATTGAAATGTGCAATGGTAACATTGAAAATAAAAAAGTAGCACTGGATGGGCAAGTGATAGACTCCATCAACCTCATACTCAGCACTCCCTGCAATGTAATCATATTTATGTCTTTATCAATATACTGTTTATGTGTAGGTAGCGATTGTGGAAATTGAGGAACAAAAGATGCAGGGAGTAGCAATTAAATTGTTGCAAATCCTGTTGGAAGAAACTTGTAAGGAAAGTAAAAAAGTTATACAAATGGTTTGCACTAACCTGAAAAAGGACAAAGTTGTAAAGTTCATCGTAGAGATATTTGGAATTTATAAAATTGTTAGTGATAATTATTATGTCAATTTCAGGAATTCTCATACTTTGCAGGATCGTGATGACAATTCACAAATCCATGACCTTTCTAGTCATCTAAGTGCTATGAGGCAAGCGGTTTTAAAAGCCTATCATGTTCTGAGAACTGTAGAGGATCATGACAAATCATTTAACTTTACAAGTAAATTGTATAATGTGTACATCATAGCATTTCGTGAATAAAGTACTTTTGTCAATTTATTTAGAAAAATGTGACAAAACAATTTTTTCAGAAAAATGTGACAAACAAATATTATGGAATATTTTGAGCTATTTGGAAGAACGTTCACACAGAATTGAAGTGTTTTATGAAGATACTAAGGGAAGTGGCATTCTGACACGTGTTTATTTTCCATATGCTCCATCGGTACACTTTAATTTGTAATTAATTTTAGCTTATAATAATTCTCTTTATACAAAGCTTGAACTAAGTGAGACTGAAAAACATATTTTCAAGCATAATGTGAACCGAGAAGATATTGAAGACAGGCAAGAGAACCTCATCCTTTGGACAAAATCTGCTCACAGGAATTTTACTCACAAGGTTAATTGCATTACTTGTACCCTTTCAAATATAACCAATACTTGCAGTCTAAATTGAAGAAAATACCACCATTATTTAACGTGCTATTTGGGTTGTAAGTTTAAATTTTATTCTTGACATTTTTTTATGCTTCAAATTATATAGTTTCAGTGAATTGTTTAATTTTCTACTGATACTACTAACCATTCTTTTAAATCTGCTAATTTTATCACTGTATATCATTCCAGACAGGTATGTGAGGTGTACATCACATTATTCTTATTTTTCCACTATTTTTAATAGTGTCATTGACCAACAAGGGGCCAATTCTTCAATTGTAATCATCACAAAACCAAACTTGCGTTTAGCATCTTACTTTTACTGGCGACATGTCTTCACCATTCCTCATTTATTGCTGAGTTTATGGATGACAGCTCAGTATTTTATTACTGAGAAGAAAAACTTCATTGTGATACCTTATGGCTTAAAGAATGCTCGGTAGGCTCTATTTAAAGCCTTTAGGCAAGTATCATGTACACTTTCTTTCTTATTTTAGTTATAAAATAGAAATGTGGGTCAAAAAACATTTTAGATATTTTTATAAAAAAATTTTACGTACACAAAAGACAATTTTTGCATACGAGAGCTACACTAAATGTTATGAATTTAATTTGTTGTCTTTTGGCACTCTCTACCGCTTAATCTTTGTCCTGTGCTCTATCTTGGCTGCTTCATCAATAAGTTTTGGATATTTGTACTGCATTTGCATTCCTTACACTTTCATGAGACTCCCTCAGTTACAAAATGTAAAGAAAACTCTGGAAATAAAGAGTAAGTCAATGTACAAATTTAAAAGCAATGTATATTTTTTGTTGTATATAGAATCACAGTTGTTCTCGCTCACTTTGGTCCTCTTTGCACTTCTCTGGATTTATGCTATCATCTCTTTCACTTTCCTTTATAGCTTCTTCGATGTAAATCAGAATCTTTTCTGTGATTCACTATTTGAATGCTACATCACTGTTTTAAGAGTTGGTTTATTCAGCTCCTTTGGAGGAGTAAGTATTTTAATATTATAGACCAAGTATTGCACTATTATATGATTCAATTTTTAGTCTATACCATCCACCTATGTTAATCAACCTGGTCCTGACTTTACCATCTTTGCCTGGAGAGCAATAATTGATGTCTCGTATTATTTGATTATTACTCTTATTATACTGCCCATTGCTATTGGTATTTTTAATGACGGTTTTAGCAAACTCAATAATGAAATGGTATGTAATGTTGATTGATCTGGTATAAAAACTGTATACTATTATCCTTGTAGGCAATGATAGAACAAGATCAGAAGGATAGGTGTTTTGTATGTGGAATAGAGAACGATGTATTTGAGAAACATGTAGAAATAAGTGATAGAAAGGTACAATGAAGGAAATACGCTATTATTGTTCATAATTTTTATAGGAAAGTCCTTTTTGGGTGCACACTCATGCAAATCATTATGTATATAGTTACATATACTACGGTATATGGGTCATGTCAATGCCTTCAGAAAGGCTTACTGCTATTGAAAGATATGTGTGTGACATGGTAATCAATTAATAATCATTTTAGTAGTAAATCATGTCTGATGCACACATTTTTAATAGATTAATAGTGGCAAAACTACTTTTTATCCCAAAGAAGACTCCAAGGATCTAGAAGGAGTGGACTGGAAGAAAAAAAACAACTAAATTGCTGATTGCTGCTGAGCTGTTAATTCTGAATCTTGCTGTGCATTTTTTACTTTTTAGAAGAAAAATAATTTTTAGAACTGTCTAATACATGTAGTTATGAGCAAGAATAGTGTGAGGTAAAATATAAAATGTATAAAAGTCTAGCTATTAATGTAATAAAATAATACTATAAATTTAATCTTTCTATCATGTACGATCACTCAGTATATATGTGATTGCCAGCAATGAACTAGTGATAATAGTAGGCATCCAATTCTTGTGCCATATTCTCAAACTTGCTTTTTACTATTTTTTCAAACTCTTCTTGCTTATCAATGCTCAGCTTAGCTTTAGTGTCGTCAATAAGTTTGTCTCCTAGCTCAGATAACTTTTTGGCAAAGTCACGTCTTGGTTCTTGGCTCAACTGGTTCTGATACCAGAAGAGGATAAGACCATTTATACGCTTGTCACTCCTTATTCCTTGAAACTCTTCCTTGTGTTCCTCACCAAGTAATGCTTTAGCAACTACACGAATATCCATTTCATATTCTTGTACAACAGAGGCAATCCTGTCTGCTATATCTGCCAGCTCTGTTGCTTTTATATCTAAAAAAGGTTAAAAAAAAACATTTTATAAACTATTCATGAATAATTCCGTTTGATGTTGATGATATGAATGAAGTTTCCAAATGCTATGGAGATCACTACATAGAAGCCATGCAAGGAAATACCACAAATGTACATTAATTTTGCTTGAGCCTAATTAACCACTTGTCATAACTATACCTCGATTACCTCCTTGCCTTATAACAGATAAACACCTCCTATGAGGTGTCTATAGAATTTGTAAGCCTCAGGCTTCCCTCCAAATTCCATAAATAACTCATAGGATTTATTTAATGACTGATATTCATGTTATCATTTTTTACACAACCAACCACACTCTAATAAATAGAACAAACAACTCACCTCCAGTTGGCTTAAAAATACCCTTTATTTCATTCTAAAAATAGTTGGATAATAGTTATAGTCATTAATATTGATATCATTACCTCAGTCAGTGCTTTATTCCATGCCTGCAGTAGGTCACTATCATCATTTTCAGGCTCTTTGCATTTACTACAAAGCTCATTATCTGGTAGAATATGATACAAGGAAGACGGAATAGATTGAACTTTTGAGAAGTCTTCGGCAGCACACAGTCTGACAAACTTGTATTTGACAGTAACATTGCATGTATCAGCAATTTTATTGTATGCACGAACGATACACCCACACACTTCACTGTTGGGCTTATCCAAATCCAATCTGGTAGCTGGGCTGTGAGACACAATGGTGATTGTTGTTCCAGTAGATGTATCTTTGATGATCGTTCGATCGAAATACTTGCATGGGATGAGCTTAGGAGCTTTCAGCATATCCAAAAGATGCTTGGTTACTGTTACTTGTCTAAAGACATGCGGTGTGTTAATGCTTGTGATAATGTGTATTGAATGAGGATGAGGAACATCATCAAACTCATCAGTACGACTCAACGAGATAAAGTAATATGTCGTGTTACAATTGAGTAGAACATCTGCTGGTGCTTCAATAAGCTGAGCTGAAACCTTAGTTGCCAAAGATAGAGAAATGAGTGCATCCATAAATAATGACCAATCTGCTGCATTAAACACTTCCCTGCAAACATCCTCTGGATAGATTCCATATGATATCATGGGATACTTTTTACGCAACTCTTCACTTGGATACAAAAGGCAATCAAGTAACTGCAGGAAGGCCATTGGCTTAACAGCAACAGTTTGACACTTCTCGTCAACCAGGCTCAGATCAAAAATACTCCCAAAGGATGTATAGAATTTGCAAAATCCTGTAAACGAACTTTCGTTCATGCCACATTCCTTTGCCATTTTTTCAAGCTCTTTTTTTGTAATGACACATTTCTCATTACGATAAAATAAGCTTCGTAGAAAGATCCAAGCAATAGGAATGTCTTCATAAGACACTTCACAGATTACGTGCTGAAGTTCTTGATTAAGACGCAACAAGCAATCATCATCCATCTGACCTGCACTACAGAGGTTTACGGGAACAATTTTCTCTTTAAGCAACGATGTTACACCGATGTGTCTTGCTGTTACTTGTACTTTTCTTTCAAGCTCATCCATTTTCTCTTCCATTCTCCCATTAAAGGTGCCATCATGCTTAGCAAAAACAGTACAAACTCTTCTCCTCTTCTTTTCCTTAGTCTCTCCTAATCGGCAAGAACGAATTAAGTAATGAAGACGCGGTCTCCACTTTATGAGCAGTGTAGCATCTTTTATTTCTCTCCCATCTCTGTTAGATAAAATGGGAGGTATTTCAGGAGGTAAATGAAGCTTTTCAAGATCTTGCTGAAGGTCAAGGAAGAGCCAGGAGTGACAGTTATAAAGGTGACCACGAAGAGCTGTTAGAAAATGGAAGACGCTCTTATTTAGAGCCACATCCCACATAATAACAAGGGCTATTCCTTCTGGAAGAAGTCGCTTGAGTTTCTTTGCATATTCTTGATCCTTTTCGCTAAGCTCTTCTACATCTTTGACAGACTTTTGATCTCTTTTTGGTATTGACTCTTGTTCTCGCAGATAATGGTAAGTATGGATCAGATGCTCGCTTAGTAGCTTGTTCTTAAATCCTTGTGATGGCTTAGCATATATATTGAAAAGTGGTAATTTCTTTTCCTCTATAAGGCCTTGTCTAAAAGCAGAGAGAATACCAAAAGCAGAGCTCGACTCTTCTGTTACTTCACCAATGTAAAGATTCCTCACAGATTTAAAGCCGGTCGCTACCAATTCATGGTACTCGATACCTTCAGCTTTTGTCACATCTTCCCCTACTCGACCAGGAGTTGATGCAAATGTAGGCGTCACTTTATCAATGTAGCGATCAAGAATATGCTGTACTGCCTCTGTCTGACCACTGTCAGGCGGTATGCCAAGAAATGATATTAGTGCTGGTTTTACTTTTGCTGTCAATTTCGGATTTTTAATGATTTCTTTCAAGGAACCCAAGTTAAAATCATATCCTAGATAATAATAAGGAATAAACTTGTTATTCCATTTTCTAGTCCATACCTTTCGGGCTAGTAGAGTCCTGACACGGCTCAGGTTCCACGTACAAGTTAGACGCATTTACGTCTATACCGATAGGCGCAGTTACCACATTTATATCTCGAATATGCTGGTGGGGTTCTGTCCCTTGAGTGGGTGAACTGAACGGTCTTAATTGAGTTATAAATAAAAAGAAGGAAAATAAAAAGATAAAACAGACAATTATTGGTAAACTGAAACTTACAGGGCGGGAAACGATCCCGAGTCCATCAAGTCACCTCAATCCTATGATCACCAATCAACCAGCAGAGTTTGTAGGGCCCTGTTTTCCTAGTCTTGCGAGCCTTGACTGTAAGTCGGGAATGCTAGCGAGACTACCGTTTTCCTGTTTATACTGCAGCATAGATACTACATACAACACATCATGCATCATGCGAGGCATCATGCCAATTAAGCGAATGGACCTTATGCACCGAAATGATTCTAATTAACTACTGAGACCTACTCTATCTAGTGATATCAGTTTTTGTGTATTAAAACTAAAGAAGACTTTTTAATAGTGCCGTGAATTGTCCTGGTTGAAGTTGCCCTTCACTGCTTTTTAGTTTTGTACCCTTTACTCAGAAAGTATTGAACTGATCTTGCTGTTAGGCTTATAAGCGACTAAATAACTCTAATATCTATGTACTCTAATATTTATGGCCATGCAGTTGCAAGTTAGCCACACCCTCGAATAAACCATAGCAACAAAATGACTGACACTGAGTCTGATCCAGAATTTGATAAATTCTTACAAGAAGTGAGAGGCATACTGTATCATTCATACTTGTCCTTCTCTCCTATCCAGTCTCTCTCTTCAGCAAGTTCTTCAGCATCAGTTGGTAGATCATATGCTAATCCTATCCAGCCTGTTGACAGCACTGACTTGATCAAGACTAGGCCACATCAGTCATACTATACACAGAAACACAACAAGAGGAGAAGGAGGAGATGACAGAGTGAGCTCAATCGGTTTAAGCTGGTTAAAGGTATTTTAAATTTAAATTAGTTTATTTTAATTTGTAATAATTAGCCATCATCTACTGAGATAAAAGGAGGAGGAGAAGTTGGAGGTGATTCTGATGAGTGGATACACGATAGTTCTAACGAGAATAAAAAAAAATGAGTAGTAAGAGAAAAGTATCAACCTCTAGGTGAGAATATGTACACGCATATAATAATGTATGATAATGTACATGTGTGTGCATGTACATGTAAGTACCAGCAAAAGTACAGATACCTACTACATGTACATGCATAGTGGATGTAATTGATTTGTATGTTTATTTTTTAGCAACAATGTCCTTTTAATTAAGATAACATTTATTTCTTTATTTTTCTAGTTTAGGTGAAGATCCTCTAAACTTCAGTACTGGTAAGCTATAATTTAACAAACTAACTATTGTCATCTGAATAACTCTTTTTGCTAATAGGTAGTGGCTACTATATCATCAGTGAGATAGAACACCAACTTGGTCTCCGTGGCAACAAGTCCACCATTACCCCTGGACAGGATACAATAAATGAGGAAGAAGAGAAAAGGAAATTCTTTGCCGGAAGACTTGGAAAAAGGACACACCTCAAGTCTGTACTACTCTGAGCTTAATCGCAGATTAGATGATAATGGAAGCTTATCACATTCATTGAGGTACATAATTTTTACATTATTTATAATGAATTGAAATGGCAGCTGCAGTACTTAATATTTTAAATCATTGCAATGTCATGTATTTTTGTATTTAGGAATACTGATTGCATTTGTCCTATGCTCTATCTTGGCTGCTTCTTGTACTGCATTTGCATTCCTTACACTTTCATGAGAGTACCTCAGTTGCAAAATGTAAAGAGAACTTTGGAAATCAAAAGTATTTAGTCCAATACACAAATTCACAAAATAATGTCTATTTTTTGTTTTATCGCAGTTGTTCTCACTCACTTTGGTCCTCTTTGCACTTCTCTGGATTAATGCTATCATCTCTTTCACATTGGTTTTTATCAAACTCAATAATGAAGTGGTATGTGGTGTTAATTGATCTGGTATAAAAACTATGTATACTATTATCCTTGTAGGCAACAATAGCCTGAACAAGATCAGAAGGATAGGTGTTTTGTATGTGGAATAGAGAACAATGTATTTGAGAAACATGTAGAAATAAGTGATAGAAAGGTACAATGAAGGAAAACACACTATTATTGTTCATAAATTTTTATAGGAAAGTCCTTTTTGGGTGCACATGGGTCATGTCAATGCCTTTTGAAAGGCTTAATTGCTGCTATTGAAAGATGTGTGTGACAAGGGAAATATAATTATGATATTTTAGTAGTAAATCATGCCTGATGCACACATTACAACTACTTTTTATCCCAAAGAAGACTCTAAGGATTTGGAAGGAGTGGATTGGAAGAAAAAAACTGAGCTAAATTGCTGATTGCTGCTGAGCTGTTAATTCTACATAAATTAACATCGCTGCTGATGTTAATTCTACATAATCTTGCTGTGCATATTTTACATTTTAGAAGAAAAATATTTTATTAAGAACTGTCTAATGAAATGTCTAATACATGTATTTATGAGCAAAAGTGGTATGAGGTAAATAAAATATAAAATGTATAAAAGTCTAGCTATTAATGTAATAAAATAATACTATAAATTTAATCTTTCTATCATGTACGATCACTCAGTATGTGATTGCCAGCAATGAACTAGTGATAATAGTAGGCATCCAATTCTTGTGCCATATTCTCAAACTTGCTTTTTACTATTTTTTCAAACTCTGCTTGCTTATCAATGCTCAGCTTAGCAATAAGATTTGCTCCTAGCTCAGATAACTTTTTGGCAAATTCACGTCTTGGTTCTTGGCCTCTTTTTGCACTCAACTGGTTCTCATACCATAAGAGGATTAGGCCATTTACACGCTTGTCATTTTCTAGCCCTTGAAACTTTTCCTTGTTTTCCTCACCAAGAAGTGTTTTAGCAACTTCACAAACATCCATATCATATTCTTGTACAACAGAGGCAATCCTGTCTGCTATATCTGCCAGCTCAGTTGCTTTTATATCTGAAAAAGGAAGAAAACCATTTTAATGACATTATTTTTATTACTATTTACATAACTAACCACACCTAAACAGATCTAACAAGCTCACCTCCAGTTGGTTTAGAAATATCTTTTATTTCATTCTAAAAATAGTT